GTATTTTTAGTAGAGATGGGGTTTCACCGTGTTAGCCAGGATGGTCTTGATCTCCTGACCTCGTGATCTGCCCGCCTTGGCCTCCCAAAGTGCTGGGGTTACAGGTGTGAGCCACTGGGCCCAGCCTGTTTTGTTTTTTTCATAGAGACAGTCTTGCCCAGGCTGGAGTACAGTGGTGTGATCATTGCTCACTGCAGCCTTGACCTCCTGGACTCAAGTGATCCTCCCACCTCAGCCTCCAGAGTAGCTGAGACTAAAGGTGCACACCACCACACTCAGCCAATTTTTTGTGTGCCTGTAGCTAGACTTGATTGCTCATCTCAACCTCCAGAGTAGCTGGGATAATGGGCATGCTCCACTAGGTCTTGTAGTGAATTTACTATTTTTTATATTTACTACTCTTTTTATTATGAAAGTATATGTTTTACTGTTCAAGTTCCAAGCTCCTATAAATCAGATCTGATATCTTGAATCCATTCTATTAAAACTTTTACCTAGAAAGAACTTGCAGGTAAATGATGACAAAGGAAAAGTATATATAAATCTGGCCGGGCGCAGTGGCTCACACCTGTAATCCCAGCACTTTGGGAGGCCGAGCGGGGCGGAACACCTGAGGTTGGGAGTTGGAGACCAGCCTGATCAACATGGAGAAACCCCGTCTCTACTAAAAATACACAATTAGCCAGGCGTGGTGGTGCATGCCTGTAATTCCACCTACTTGGAAGGCTGAGGCAGGAGAATCGCTAGGACCCAGGAGGCGGAGGTTGCAGTGAGCTGAGATTGCACCACTGCACTCCAGCCTGGGCACAAGAACAAAACTCTGTCTCAAAATAAAAAACACTAAAAAAAAAGGCTGGGCGCGGTGGCTCACGCCTGTAATCCCAGCACTTTGGGAGGCCGAGATGGGCGGATCGCGAGGTCAGGAGATCGAGACCATCCTGGCTAACCCGGTGAAACCCCGTCTCTACTAAAAATACAAAAATTAGCCGGGCACGGTGGCAGGCGCCTGTAG